TATATATATAGCTATATATATATAGCGTGACGTCGCGCCGTTTGAAACTAATATCTGACGAGAACTACAAGCTTTATATCGGCGCGACGAATTTCCGAGAGGCCGTGTAATTCGGCATTATGGGGGTACAAGTGCATTTTTCCTTTTTGTTAGGGGTTGCCCACGCGCTAGTACACACTCGCTCGTGTCATTTTTCTCCGTGTAGGCAATCGCCGGTATAAGGGCACTATCCGCATCGTGTGTTAATCACCGACTACAGAGGGTGGAAAAGACTATAGGCGTCGTTGCGAAGGGAGAAAAAATGAGCGAAAGAAGGAAGGTGGATGCAAGTGCATAAACCCAAAGAAAGCCCTACGAGCACGTTCTAAACATGCAGAGCACGTTTATTTTTCTTTTCATGTGCATGTCAAGGGCATAAACATCTCCCTGCAATGGATTATTATACGAACGATGGAAACTTTCCGCGACGACAAGTTTTTTTCTCTGTAATTTAGTACCTGCTCTTAATTATCTTCACGTTCCTTCATTAGAGAACACGAATGGATTTCGGGCGAGATGAGTAATAGTTTATGTGTATACACACGAATACTCTATTTAAAATGAAATAAATGTTGCAAAAAGAGGTGATTAATTTTTTTCCATGCACATAAAATATTTAATAAAAAAAACATATACGACATAAACAGTAATGTAATTTTTCTTTTATAATACTCATATACATATATATGTTATATATATAGTATTTTTAATAATTAATTACATTATGCATAATAAACGGAAAAAACGAGCTTATTGAAGTTTCTAAAATTTATCTAGATACAGATCTGAAAATAATTTTGGACTATCAAAATAATTGTGTACAACACGAACATCTAAGGACGTCCTGAAGACTTTTTTACGCTCTAAGAATGTTTCCAGGATATACCTAGTGTATCGTATAGGATGCTTAAACTAGTTGCTAAAATCTTTTTTGCAGCATTGTCAATAACGCTCAAGTATTCTATATATATATATGTATAATTATTTGAATGGTTTAAAAATTATTTTCAGATCTGTGTCTAGCTAAATTTTTAGACAAATTTCTTTATATTTCAATATTTTTAAAAACCATACCATTTTAAATACAGATATATCCCGAACATGTATATGTTTATAAAAATTATATAGGCTACATCTTTTAAATTTGTGCGCAATTGTGTGTGAGAGAAGAAGAAATAGAACAGTTGAGACCGTTTTCAAGCAGCTGCAGATCTATTTGTTGGAAAATCCTCGAGTAAAAGAGAAACGCGGCGAATAGAACGCGGGGTGGCATTTCGATTGGAACGTGCGATATATTACGTGCCTGGCAAATACATACGTGCTCTCTGCGACACATATATATATATATATATGTATATATATATATATATATATATAAAAGTAGACGCATAAATAAGATTGCAAATGCGTGCTAACTGTGTGTAAGCACCGATCAGAACACGAGTAATGCGAGCACGTATATTTTTATTGATTTCAAATGTTTCTACTCTATCTCTTTCATTCTTCTTCTTCTTCTTTATTTTCTTCTTCGTCTTCTTCTTTAATTGCCGTCATCGTTAATGTCATCTTTGCCTTCTATTTTCTCTTCTTCTTTCTAGTGTTTTTTACTTTCCAGAGTATTTGTGAGAATTGAATTTGGTTACAATTAATATTTAAATATCCTATGAACTTGTAAATCAAAATACGTTTGATTAATAAAATATGGGAATGCATATGCATTGCAAATACACACTTTTTTTTTACAAAAAAATCATAATCTACAAATAATATGTACACACACACACACACACACACACACACACACACACATATATACAGATGTACAGATTTTTGGGGATAAAGAAATATATTATAATTTTGTTACCTTCACCTTGACACGATAAAGGTAAAACTACTCTTTCTTCCGTGAAATCATATCCAATCATAATTATAATAGCAATTAGTCGGTGGTGGTAAAATGAACTGCGCTGTAAACATCAGAGACAGCATGACGATGCAAATACAGAAATTCTCCTCATATGAAACGAATCGTAAATAACAGCCTGGTATAGGATTATCGTACACTCTCTCTCAAGAAGGACGATACTCCTGCGTAGAAATAATTGCAAGCTATAATTGTTTCTATAGGATATACAACGACGTATGCACACGTGTATATATTCACAATTTTTATTGATACGTTTATTAAAACCTGTAGCAATAACATTACATTTACGACGATGACGGTAGAGGTATATTTGATTCTTTCAATTAATAGTAGGTTCTTTCAAAAAATATTCTCATTTATAACAGCACATATACATATATTGATTGGATATTATTTCTATATTAGATATAATAGAGTATAAATACAATTATCATTTTATACTTGTATCAACCATCTTTTATATACATTCAAAGAAAATAATGTATGCAATTCCTTTAATTTAATGTCTTTTTACCCGCTGCCTATATTCTCCCTACTTATGGGAGCGCACGCTGCAACTGAATCTCGTTAAAGTTGGACACGAATCGTATTTTTCTCACCGCGTCGCGAAGATTGATCGTTACTTCAGAAAATTCCAGGGACTTCTGTTTAGGTTGTAGTTAGCTTATGGTGTACAACATCCTTATACGAATATATAGTGACATAATAGGCAAACGTGACGTCCAGGCCGATGCACCGTTATGCAGAATGGTGCTGAGGTCAAAGAGTCGATATGGATGGAAAGGGAAGAAGCAGAGAGTCTGCGATTCGTTCAGAATGTATATATGTACATCCGCGGGTACGCTCGTTTGGCTAGTTCACTCAAATGAATATTTCAGCAGTCACAAAGCGGAGCGAATGTGGGATACAACCGCGTAAATTTTCCTA